AAGAGACAAACACAAAGGTAGAAAAAAGGTGAGGTGAGTACCATGGAAGTAGTCGAATATGACATACCGTGGGGTGATGATAGTTTGAAGTGAGAGGTCAACTGCCAGTCAATAGACTTTTTTGCCGTATGAGTATGCGTTGCCCAGGGTGTACCACGTGGAGGTAAGTCTATCGCACACCCCTACTATTTTCAATATTAAAGTAGTAATAATTTCTAAGTATTGTTTTCTTATATACAAATGGTAATCACGATTTCGTTGTTTTTATAATGTCCCATTATTCAAGTTTACATCTCCCTCTTTATAATAAATAAACATTTTTACTATTTTCAGAGAAACGCCAAATGTGAACGAACTGCATTACTTCTGTTGAGCATTTGTGCTTTCTTGTATGTAAGCGTCTTTCATTACAGCGTACTAGAATGGAGAATGTCATCGATGTCTAAATTTGATATGGAATATAATTACATATTTAACCTCACTTCAATCCCCTAGCCCAAACTAACAAAACCAAATGTTTCCACCATTGCAGAAGTGGATCAATTAGGTCCACTTGAAATAAAAACCAGTATCGGCCAACAACGAACCCTGGAAAATCTTGTCAAAGAATTCAAAAGAGCTATGAGCGATGCGAATTTAAATGGGCAACGGTTTCTACACGCTGAAGCTCTTTTAGGTTCCATCCAACATCATGATTTCATTCCTTGGGATGATGACGCCGATTTCAAGTTGCATATCAAGCACAGGCAAGCGGTTCAAACTGCCCTGAAAAAGCTTGCTCCAAGACTTCACACTTACGCAATGTGGCAGCGTGATAAACTCTACTTTGCTCCATTCAACTCCTCAATACTTCTCACTCCCTATACAATTGGGAGCCATTCTGTTAACAGGTGACCATGGGCATGGCCATTCATCGATATTTCATACTTTGTAGAAGCTACAATGAATTGAGGCCAAGATTACTTAGATCACACTAAAAGATATAACCTTGGTGATATATTCCCCTTGGCTTATCGTCCACTTGGTAAAGAGTGGTTGCCGGTACCGAGACGACCAATTAGTTTCCTGAAATCCTACTACGGTAACAAGGTACAAGTTTGCAAATCTCAAGGGTGGTCACACGCCACAGAGAGTGCGTCGAAGTTAGTGGTTGTGGACTGCAGAAAGCTTATGGACAAATATCCCTTTGTGCACCAGTGTCGGATTCCAGAACATAAGTCTAGAAGGCGTCAAAGTGGAATGTGTGATGAATATCTGGTGAATGGAAGTGGACAAGTCTTTCACAAAATTCGTCTTCCACTTGACGTCGACGAATGCGAATCTTCATTTTACACAGTCAGACACGAATCTTTTCGTTGCCATGAATAGGAATTACTTTTCCTCTCTTTATATACCTATATATTGAGTTCTTGAATTATTTATATTTCAGCACAAATTTTGCGTTTTACTTTTAAGAAATAAAGGAGTAAAGGTAGTTGATACGGAATTGTTTTGTTCCAATTAACTGCAATCAAGTAACCCTGGGTGAGATGATAAAAAAAGCCACTTGAACCTCTTCTTCTAATATGATTAGGTCAGACCACTAATAATATGAGTGGCATTCTTTCCGCCAACATGAAAGGATATGCTATGGCAACACATTAATAAACATATATCTAGTGGATCCCAGAGTTTAAACGGTCAATGCCAATGAGTTAACACTTAGTGAAGCACAGGCCAACTCCCCATCTCCCCCTCCCCCTCCCCCACCTTATCAGGAGGTGACAGGAAGCGAATTCTCATGGGAAAGGATTCAGGAAGTCGAAAGTAAATTCATCAAAGCCACGGAAGAACTAGTGTCGATATTTTGAATGAATGCAAGAACAAACTGGTCACTACAGTGTGACAAACGTCTACATCTCGACACACATCTCAACTACAGGATTAGAGGTTTGAAATTATTTCCCAGTATAACTGTTCTCTTTGGCAGCTGATATCAACCAACTCTGAACGATGTTGACAATCAATTAGCCAAATAATCAAAGTGCGCAAAAAATACTCATTCGACACGAACATGGACCTTAGTTGAAAAACAATTTTCACAATAGCATGTGTGATGTTACAGAGGCACTCAATAAGTTTCACCAGATCAATTGTCATCTAACCCCTAACGAAAGTAGTAACTGAGACAACTGCAAGAATTCGACTAATTTATCAGTTTCTTCAATAAACTGGTCTATGTTATATTGGTCTCGATTCACTTTTAATGGCTCGAGATACACTGTCATCTTGATCTCCCTGTTTGTAATCATTTCTTCTGCAACTGATGACTATATATCTGATTTTTATTAATTACAATGCTTTCAACTATGAAGAGATCAAAACGACATAATGTCATTATTTTGTGTAAGACAGAAACTTTAATTCCAATGACACAAATGCAGTGGACCATTAACAATTTCAAACAAACGATCCGGAATTTGTAGAAGCATGGGAATTTATTTATTTATATCAAATGGCAGGCATTTTGATAGTTATCATAAGCCCTTTAGTTGACTTCAGGCTTCACAGAGAAGAAGGAACATCAAAGTGAAAAAAAGTCGAGAGGGGGAGGGGAACAGAAGAGTATTTCAAAGATGTAAAAGAGAGAGACACAAAGGTAGAGTGAAAAAGATGAGGTGAGTACTGTGGAAGTAGTCGAATATGACATACAGTGAGGTGATGGTGTTTTGAAGTCGGAAGTCAACTGCCCAATAATAGACTTTTTTGCCGTATGAGTATACGATGACCAGGGTGCACCACGTGGAGGTAAGTCTATCACACACCCCAGAAGCATGGAAATAATAATC